GCTCAGGAATTACGCTTTTCTCAATATAAGGCCTACCGGTGCGATAATAAGGGAAACCCTGCCTCTTAAGGGTATATTTCCTTCACATAGCTCAACCGTGTTGATTACGATCCGGCATTATAGGAGAAAACGACAAATCGATACGAGTAACGAGCCGTCGCCGCCGCTGCCGCCCAGTACACCAACACCAGTCATTCAACTTCGTCCATATCAACAAGAATGCATCCAAGCATGTGTGGACAAATTTCTCAAAGAAAACGTTCGTAGACAGGCGGTATCACTTCCTGTTGGTAGTGGTAAAACGGTGATATTTTCGAATTTGATCCAGCAAATACCACCCCCACAACCGGATGCCACCAAGGTTTTAGTGATAGCACATCGACAAGAATTACTTCATCAAGCCTACAGACAGATTAGTTCTCACGTATCGAACAAGGGACTGATTGTTGAGATTGATCAGGGTAGTAAAATAGCAAAAGGTAATGGCGATGTCATCATTGGGAGTGTGCAGACATTAGGTCGACCTTCAACTCTTAGACTTGCCAAGTACAATCCCGACGAATTCAAAGCCATTATTATTGATGAGGTAATTGAGTAGAGTTGTTTGGCTCTTTGGAAATTTACAACTGTGTTTTTGATCGGTTATTCTAAATGGGTAATTTTTTTCATCTCTTTTCCATAAAGGCCCATCACGCTACGGCAGCTAGCTACCGGCGTATTCTCGAGTACTTTAATGCTGATACCAAAGATAGTAAAGTTTTTGTTTGGGGATGCTCTGCCACACTGTGCCGTTATGACGGAATAGCTCTGAGCAGTGTTTTTGATGAGATTACGTTTCATCGCGACTTTTTGGACATGATCAAAGAAAAATGGTTATGTTCGTTTAGAGTAACGACAGTAAAAACGGAACACGAAATGCCAAACATAAAGAGTGTAAACAACGATTTCGATGTTGGTTCGTTGGCACAAGCTCTTGATACTCCGACAAGAAACCAACTGGTTGTTCAGATATACGCGTCGCATGCAAGTAAGTTTGATTTTTAACGACGTATATTCGCGTGCTACTTTTAGACGTATAAGTGCAACCAATATAGTGTTTTTCCCCTCTCCTCTCCCCCCAAAAACGCCTACACAGAGGATCGTAAATCAACTCTTGTCTTTGCGGTAAACAAAGCTCATGTAAATGCGTTGACAGAAATGTTCAGAGAGTATGGAATAGAGGCACACGGTATAATTTCTGATACGCGGAGCCACATTCGCACCGAGATTCTCGAGAGATTCAGAAGACGTGAATTTCCCGTATTGGTAAACTGTGGAATAATTACCGAAGGCACAGACATTCCACAGATTGACTGTATCATAATGTCACGTCCAACTAAATCACCAGTGCTATTTACTCAAATGCTTGGCCGAGGGATGAGGTTAGCTCCAGATAAAGAAGATTGTTTGGTGCTCGACTTTGTTGATTCTTATAGCAAGATACCGGATGTACAAACAGTCCCAACATTGTTTGGGATGGATCCAATGACAGACTTTAACAACCAAACAGTTTTTGACATTGAGGAAATGAATAATGAAATTGGTCACAAAACCCGGGAGGCTGATGAAGGACGAGACTTTTCATTGTATACGCAAACGATACGTGAATGTGAAATCACATCTTGGGACAATCCATTTGAATTTGTAGACGACTGTTCTGGAATAGGATCTATTCTTCAGCACACCACGAATGCATGGGTAAACGTCGGTCCAGACAGTTACGTGCTTAATCTAGTTAATGGAAAGTCACTACGAATAGATAAAGGAGGTGATGGTATTTATAGAGTAAAGCTCCGACAAAAATTTGTTACTGATGATAATCATTGGACAAAGACCGATTATCTCAAAATTGAAACCGAATCATTAGTAAATGCCGTACGCGGAGCCGACACATGGGTGAAAAACATGTTCAATCATATGACAATATGTCGAAGTATATCGAGATTGGCTCTTTGGAGACGCGAGCCTGCTACAGATTCGCAGAAAAGATTTTTACGTAAGAGGGCAGATAAGATAAAGCATTGGAAAGATAAGAGTAAAATAAACAACATGACTAGAGGGCAAGCATCGGACATGATCTCGAGGTTGATAGATGGACTTGCCAATAATTGGACATTAAAAGTGAAAGAGGATAAAATGATCAAGTCACACAAGATAAAAAAATCAAAGAATGAATTCTTGCGTGAAGGAAGCTTGAGTGCTCTTTCGTTGTCGGACAATAGTAGTTGAATG